TTTATTAGAAAATGGAAGACATAGCTAAGACGCAGCTGATCAATCTGCCCCTCGATCTGGGGCTCCACGCAAGATCTCACCGGCCGTGGGGTCGAGAAATGGATCACAAGCACGGGTGAGCACAAAATCCCAGAACACCGGGGGAACCTAGTCATGACCTGCAGAGAGCTGGGACCCAAAGTAACAAGGCTACCATCAGTAACACACCTACGCCCCAGGGACCAAATCCTGCAGTGCCAGTGTGTCCCCCTGCTTAAGCCAGTATATGTCCAGGCCCCGTCTGAAGTTTGCTAGAGAGCCAGATCGAGGGAGAATTTATCAGTGGTCCTTTGTATGGCTTCCATTTTCCAAGTAAATTGCTCCGACAGTTGATTTCTTCACACCCAAGCTGCTTACCTATGACGATTCAGACTCTTCCCAGCCTGGTGGCAAGGTCCTACAATTGTTGCTTCTGGTCGTCCCTTTGACAGCCTCCTTTTGTCCTTGGCCATCAGTGGAGTTTGGAGTGTGACTGTTTGAGGTTGTGGACAGGTGGTCTTTTTATACTGATAACGAGTTCAAACAGGTGCACTTAATACCAGTTAACGGATGGAGGCCAGAGGAGGCCTCTGTAAAGAGAAGTTACAGGTCTGTGAGAGCCAGAATCTGTTTGTTTATAGGTGACGAAATACTTATTTACGAGGAATTGACCAACTTAATTCATTAAAAATCCTACCAATGTGATTTCCCTGATTCTTCACCCCAATCGTCTCTCCAAATCAGTCTGAGGTACCTAACCTAGGATGAAAATACAAGCCCTCTCTCCATCTTTTAAGTGCCGGAGAAACTTGCACCATGAGGCTGGGATATAAGGGTAATTTACAAATAAAATACCCATTATAACAATGGACTTTATCTTTATGTATTTATTATATATTACCCCCTCAGGCTGATTTTGGAAAAGGACATTAACCGTTGTTTGGTGTTTTTCCCTTATTTATCTAAAACAAATGACATGATAAATTACTTGTGTTTATGTGTGTAAGACTTGTGTTTCTGCCCCTGCCATTGCTGCACAAGGTTGCAACATTGTAGATAAATTCAACCACCGACACCTGTCTGCTCTCACATTCTTCTATTCTGCAAATTTGGGGTGGGACACAATAAATAAAGCTTCGCCAGTTTGTTTGTTTTATTGCACAGTCAAGACATAACAATAACGGCATCACGCCGCTAAAGTAGCTTTTGCGAACATCGCTCAAAACATTTGGAGTTGGGAACTGCTTTCTGTAGAAGCTGCTGCATCCCGTCCTCAGAGTAAATTGCCAGAAGCGCCGACACTTCCTCATCATTCCACCGCTCCGGTGTTGTAGTACGTGTGGTCATAACTGCTTTAAAGTACAAAAAAACTACTCGCTCAGGTGTGGATGTGGTTTTGTAGCGAGGAAAAAAATGGCTGCCTAACAAAAAAAATTCAGAGTCTAACGGGGCGTGGTTTGCAATTTGCCCAGCCAATAGAAATAGAATAGAAATTGGCACTCTTTTATCACCAGGTTCGTACCACCTCTCTAGCAGGGACTGAAAATGGCCAAAAGAGTTCCCGGCACTGAGTAGTCCCGGCGGTGTGAACGTGACATTATTGGTACTAACGGAACTAAAGAACCAAAGTACCAGGGAAAGTCCTGCGGTGTGAATGCGGCTATAGTTCATAGTCCAATGTTTGTGTTAGGTGTGTTTGCACGAGTTCAAGAGGAAAAAGGGGGGGGGGGCATGTGTGTGTATGTGTGATACCGGGTGTCAGAGGTTACTAGCACATGACACCTTGTGTTCAATCAACTGCTTCCAGAGGCAGACAGAGCTTTGCAATAGGTCGCTGTAAGGTGCTACTCTTGGTTTTCACCAAGACACTTCGGACAAGCCCTTTGGACCCTGACAGTGTCTTTATCACCCGGCCCATTTGCCAGGAATTTCTTGGTGCTGTGTTATCCACGGTGAGGACGAGATCATATGGGCCGGGTGATAAAGACACTGTCAGGGTCCAAAGGGCTTGTCCGAAGNGTCTTCATCTGGTTTCAAGGCAGGTCACTCAACAGAAACTGCTCTCCTTGCTGTCTCTGAGGAACTGCACACGGCTAAAGCAGCATCCCTCTCCTCTGTCATCATCCTTCTGGACCTGTCTGCTGCATTCGACACGGTGAATCATCAGATCTTCCTTCGCACTCGCCAGACCCAGGTCGTCGCACGCATCTCTGCTTATCTAACAGACATCTCTCAGTGGATGTCTGCTCACCACCTCAAGCTCAACCTTGACAAGACTGAACTGCTTTTCCTTCCGGGAAAAGATTGTCCCACTCTTGACCTAACAATCAACATCGTCCCCTCTATTGTTTCCCCGACTCAGACTGCAAGGAATCTGGGTGTGACCCTAGATAACAAACTGTCCTTCACTGCAAACATAGCTGCTACAACCCGCTGCTGCAGATACACTCTTTACAACATCAGGAGGATACGTCCCCAGCTGACCCAGAAAGCGACGCAGCTTCTGGTCCAGGCTCTTGTCATCTCACACCTAGACTACTGCAACTCCCTCCTGGCTGGTCTACCTGCATGTGCCATCCGACCTCTGCAGCTCATCCAGAATGCAGCGGCTCGTCTGGTCTTCAACCTTCCAAAATTCTCCCACACCTCGCCGCTCCTCCGCTCCCTTCACTGGCTTCCAGTAACTGCTAGAATCCACTTCAAGACACTGGTACTTGCGTACCATGCTGCGAATGGATCTGGCCCTTCCTACATCCAGGACATGGTTAAACCGTACACCCCAGCACGTGCACTCCGCTCTGCATCAGCCAAACAGCTCGCTGCACCGGCACTGCGAGGGGGACCCAAGTTCCCATCAGCAAAAACACGTGGGTTTGCTATCCTGGCTCCAAAATGGTGGAATGAGCTCCCCATTGAAATCAGGACAGCAGAATGCTTACTCATCTTCCGGCGCAGACTGAAAACTCATCTCTTTAGACTCCACTTCGAGTGATAGAATTACTAACAAAGCACTTATATACTAATAAAGGACTGGCTTATCTAAAGCACTTGAAATGTTTTGGCTCTATGAAACCTGATGTACTTATATGATTCTGTTTTCTTCAAGTTTGTATCTTCTTGGTCGAATGCACTTATTGTAAGTCGCTTTGGATAAAAGCGTCAGCTAAATGCAATGTAATCGCAACAGGGGTGAATCGCATCGTATCGCCTGGTGCTTCAAATGTATCGTTAATGTATCGTATCGTTGGCAACCTATCGAGATGCGCATCGCACTCAATGATGGAGATGCACATCCTTAATATAAATACATGTGCCTTGCTTTGCCTAACAACATGGTCAGTATAGGCTTTTTATTTGTCTTACCACAGGCAACATAGTCTCCGTTGGAGGCCAGGCCTACGAAGTTCTTCTCGTTGATGTGACCCTTGAAGGAGCGCAGGCAGTGAGGTTTGTTGACGTTCCACAGCTTCAGCTGACTGTCTGTTGAACTGTTGATTAAAGGGTGTAGATACACGATGACTCAATGCAAAGGCAGGGCACTTTGTAACATGACCTGATAAAACTGCTTTGGAAGGGATAATATTATCAATGTTCAGACACAAAGACAACAACAAAACGAGCCATAAATCAGTGTAAGCATATGTATTTTTGTCAAAGGTAAGAACCACGGTATATGTTTAGTTACAGAGGTTTTCACACATTTCTTGGTCTTATATATTGTAGTACAATGTGCACATTTTTGCTTCACTTCTTTTTGCACATTATCACTTTTATTGATTGGATTTTAGCTTTGTATTTTATTCTTAAATGGAGCAACAGTCCCAAACCCACATTTTCCTGAGGATGAATGAAGTATTGTGGTTCTGATTTAGATTTTTGTCAACAATGCATGTAATGTGGTTGGTAGAAGGGTTCATTTTGTCAGCTAATCTTTTATGAAGTATTTGTTTAGTCTTGGCTTCTCTAATCTTATATTAGTTGAAGTAAACCATTTTATATCATTTCAGTCAAGGAAACTAACCAAGTATCACCTTGTTTTTCCTAAACCACGCTGTTATCATTCATTTTAGCACTCATAATGCACGGCAGCAGCAGAAATAGACTCGGTTTAGCACTAGGCTTTGTTCAGTTTTAATAACTTTAATTAATTATGTAAGTTACTCCTGTCTGCTGTGTCTGTATTCATTATATTGATTAACAAAAACAGTCCATTATAAACAATAATATCTTGTCTCCTTATTCGTCAATGGACATAGAGAAACTCGTTTTTATATTCCAAGGTAAATTTGACTCTTGACTTTTCTCGACAGTCAGGGATTAATGACGTGGT